AGAGCTCTAGCCCATGGGATTCTTCCGAGGAGGTCTCTGAAGAGGCTAAAGTTGGCCCTCCTGAAGTCCATGGTTGCAAGGCTACTTACAGCCCTGCCTCCTCCACCTTGGGTCTTGAACTCTATCAGCTCATGGTCACTGCAGCTGAGGCTACCCTCCACCTTCACACCCCCTACAAGTCCCTCTCTATTTGTTAGTACAAGGTCCAGTAGTCCACCTCTCCTCGTTGGCTCCTCCACAACCTGCGTCAAAAAGTTATCACCAACGCACTGCAGGAACCTCCAGGACTGTTTGTGCCTGGCTGTGTTGTCCTTCCAGTTGATGTCAGGGTAGTTGAAGTCCCCATGAGAACCAGGGCCTGTGACCGTGAGGCAACATCCGACTGACTCTAAAATTTCTCATCAACTTCCTTATCCTGATCAGGTGGCACTGTATGCCACAGTGTCTCCCACACTAGCCTGCCTTTTAACCCTTACTCACAAGCTCTCAACTCGCTCATCCTCCACTCCCAGGTTGAGCTCCATGCAATCCAGTTGCTCTCTCACATAAAAAGCAACTCCACCACCTCTCCTTCCCAGCCTGTCCTTCCTAAAGAGCACACAGCCTTCCATGGCAGCGCTCCAGTCGTGTGAGCTATCCCACCACGTCTCTGTGATTCCAAGGAGATCATGACGCTGGGACTGCACACAGATCTCCAGTTCGTCCTGCTTATTCCCAATGCTTTGTGCACTGGTGTACAGGCATTTCAGGGAAGTAATTGAGCCTGCAGGTTTCCCAGGAGGGATGAAAGAGGACCCTATATAATCATATCGTATCCTCACTTCCCCCATATATCTTGATAAGTTCGGTGATTTTTTCAGCACATTAACTTGTCCTGATCTCAGTCCTTTAATATTCATAATTCCAAATGCAGTAGAAATACATATATAGTGAGATATGTATGTTACAGCCATATTTGTCCAGTCAGGGTCATGAGCCAGAAGATTGTGTTTCATTGCAGTTTCTATTAAAAATAAGTAACTCCAACACACGGTCCCAAAGCCCTGGCCTCCCTCAGTGGACACTCATCTTGTTTGATGTGATCAGCCAGTGCAATTGTAATGTGTTACCATTTCACTTTGAAGTCTCTGGGTCAGGATGCACAGCAGTTTGTTCTATATTCTTGTTTTATGAAACATGGTCTTTTGTCCCGCACTGCCTATTTTATGGGACAATGCAACATGCTAGCTGTAGAATACTTCCTTAAAGAGCTATAAGCAGATCTTCACAGTTCAAGAAGCAGACAGCATAAATGTGCGAGAAGTACTAGGGAGACATCTGTAAACCTCAGCAATCCCAAAGGGCACTGAAGAAGATATTTACTCTATGCGACAACATGACCTTATAGTTAGCCTAATTCCACTGCGAGATGGAAGACTCAGCTGAGAGATGGGAGCTTATTTTGCCTACTTGTGACTGCGAATTTGATTTGTCTCACACTGCTGTCTCCCAAGCCTTTAATGCAACTCAGCTCGCTTCCTTACTTAGTTACTTGACTAGGAAGAGAGTAATTTGGAAATACGGGCCCTAAAAAGAAGAATTAGTATAAACTTGGTTACTTTAGGACACATGGACTTAGGTCACTGTGAAGCAGGAGCTTAATTCATGTGATGAGTGTTTACAGGAAAAAAAGAAACACCGACAAAATATCAGTAATATTCTTAAATATTATTATATTCTCTAGAGTCATGACACTCAGATGCTAGAAGTAGATTTACATACATTTGTAGTTAGTGGAATTCCAAAGTACTGTAATCCGGGAACTGTTTGTTGTGACTCCTTGTGTGACAACACTGAGTTGTTATTTTGCAGCAAGAGCAATCAGAATTGCAACCAAAACATACTACAGTTGTATTTGGAATAAATTATTATGTAGTTATTTCATCTGTTCCTATTTCTGTAGGTCTTGTTTGGTTTCCTGTATTTCTATGTGCAAGCTCAAAAGAAATTACTGAAGTACTGACGAGTTTCTGAAACTGAAACACTGGAATCTGTAAACTGTTGCAAAAAACAATTTATGAACCAGTTATGGACCATTTCCTCTAAAAAATGAAGTAGACCTACTGAAGATAAGGCAGATATTGCAAATAAAGATCACAGATGGTCCCCTTTGGGAAAAGATGGCATGAAATACAGCCCAGATTAGAAAAAGTAAAGGACTTTAAGGATTAGTTTCAGTATGTAACTGTCAAGAAACTTCAGGAAAAGATAAGCAGAGATCTCAGATGAGACAGTAACTAGCTACTGTGTAGCACCCTGTCACTCACAACGCTAGTAAGTTGCAAAGCAGATTGTTCAATGTTTGTTCTGACAGAAGTCATAAAACCCCCAAATCAGCTTGCTTTAAGTGAGAGAGAAAGGAAATGTAATTTTTTTTCAGATCTTCTCATAAGAATACAGCTACGTGTCAGATAATGAGACATAATCACCCTTTTCACTCAAAGGAAAAAAGGAACTACTGGACAAGCTGCAGCAACAGGGTATTTCAATGGTACCACAAAGATTTCTGCTTGCTTCATCAAAACGTTCACGAGGGTGTTGTGAGCAATCTTCCTTCCCATTACAAGTCTAACATATTTTTCTTAAACTCCCCCAGTGTTTTGTTAATAGAAGACTACAACTATACAATTTGGTTTGTGTTCTGCATATATTAATCATAAAATTTTAATTAGAAGACATTGCTTTTTCACAGAATCACATTTCTATTACACAGAAACACTTATAAAGGCTCCTACAATGAAGAACCAAGACAGTATACTACAGCCCAACACTCAAATCAAAATGTTTTC